GTTCTCAGGAGCAAATTCAACATTTTCTTTGTTAATATCTTGGATTTTACTTTTTTTTTTTTTTTTTTTTCCAAAAGCTTCCCTTAACCTCTTTTCCTGATTTGCTAATATTCAAAAAGCAGCCCACTAGTAACTATCCCTCTTAGCAATTTCCTGAGCATGGTTAGTTTTTTCAATCAAGTACAGCATACAATTATGACTTCCTTTTGTTCATTTAATTCTTTTTCAGAGTGAAAAAAGCACTAGCAAAATATATCAAGTATAACAAAGTGGTAAATGAAAGAAGTCTTAAAAACTCCAAGTTAAACATGGCCATTTTTCAATATTCAAATATGTGCCTATCCAGGATCCATTCTGAGTTTTTTTTTGTTTTTTGTTTTTTTTTTGAGATGGAGTCTCGCTGTGTCACCCAGGCTGGAGTGCAGTGGCCCGATCTCGGCTCACTGCAAGCTCCGCCTCCCGGGTTTACGCCATTCTCCTGCCTCAGCCTCCGAGTAGCTGGGACTACGGGCGCCCGCCACCACGCCCGGCTAGTTTTTTGTATTTTTAGTAGAGACGGGGTTTCACCATGTTAGCCAGGATGGTCTCGATCTCCTGACCTCGTGATCCACCTGCCTCGGCCTCCCAAAGTGCTGGGATTACAGGCTTGAGCCACCGCGCCCGGCCCCATTCTGAGTTTTAAAACCTGGCAAGATACTCACTTGAGGGCAAAATGAAACTTAGGTAAACTGCCTTGTTCAAAGTCATAAAGCAAGTTAATAGTAAAGCCCAAATCTTTGGAATAAGATGCCAGGAAGTCTTTCCACCATAGATTGTTATCTTCCTAACCAACCTGTCTTTCTAGATTCTCTGCTACTATTTCTTGGTCTATTTCTTAAAGTCTTCACATACTGAAGACTTTACTGCAACAGGACTGTGGCCAGAACTGTATTTGTCCCATTAGGCTCACCTTGCTAAGGTAAGAAAGTGATCTCACCCAAAGGTATTCCATCTCCACTGACCTTGAATAGGAAATACACATTCATGTCTTGCCAAGAGTTCAAGTACCAAGTCAATATATACTAGGAAGGCTATGGTTTGGAGGAGACTGAAATAATGACATTTCCCATGCATTCCAAATGTATTAGGATGTATGACTGAATTAAGTGGGACATGCACCTGAAGCCTTCTCACCTTCACAGTTGATAGCCATGAATGAACTGGCCATTTGTCTCTGAAAATCTGCTTCCGAGGAGGAAAGCAAATGATTTTTTAAAATGCAAAACAGGAAGGAACTAAAGGCAGCATGGCATGAGCCTCATTTTTTCCCCTAGCAGATCAATATGAGATATCACCCCTCCACTTCTACTTGAGACTTTGTTACTTTCCATGGCTATCAGTGCGTGTGTGTTTAAATATTTCCACATTTGGTAATCAGGATCTGTGACCCCCTTTTCTCAAATATGCCCTAATGAGACACAGGAAACACGCTGTCACTCTCCCAAAATGAAACACACATGAAGACTGTAAAACCTTTCCTCTAATTAAGAGTAAGCTTTACCCATGTATTACTAGCAATTTTTCTATCACTGTAATCCCGAGTTATAATGTCTAGAAGACAGAGGAAGACCTGCTGGCCAGACTATGATAGTATTCTTTACAGATACTCTTCATTTCTATCATTATTTTATTACTTATTATTATTTTATTATTTTTTAGCGATGGGGTCTATGTTGCCCAGGCTGGATTCAAACTCTGGGGCTCAAGGGATCCTCCTACCTCATTCTTTTAAGACAAGGTACAGGCAGGACAAATGTAAAGTGTTTAAAGGAAACAGATCTACAGGGAAAACAATAACTCACTTTGTACATTTCGAGGGTGCTGGGCTAATGGTGAAAATGCAAAGCAAAAGGCCTAAAATGTGGCCATGTCTGCTTAGGACTGGGGTTGGAAGGTTTCCTACTGGGCTTTTAAGAGCTCTCTGCAACTGAGCACAGTGGCTCATGCCTGTAATCCCAGCACTTTGGTAGGCCGAGGCAGGCAGATCTCTTGAGGCCAGGATTTCGAGACCAGCCTGACCAACATGGCCAAACCCAGTCTCTACCAAAAATACAAAAATTAGCTATGAGTGGTGGCACACACTTGTAATCCCAGCTACTCGGGAGGCTGAGGCCCAAGAATCACTTAAACCCAGGAGGCGGAGGTTGCAGTGAGCAGAGATCATGCCACCGCACTCCAGCCTAGACAACAGAGCAAGTTTCTGTCTCCAAAAAAGCTCTCTGCAACGTCAGCACCACAGACTCAGCACTGCCCTGAAGCTCTTTTGTAACTGGCTTTTATTGGTTTAATTAACCAAGGCTGGGTGGGACAGATTTACTCTACCTCTGTAATGTTATTGCTGCTGGCTTGTGGCTAGCAGCAGCTCTTACCTTTTGTATCTGATACCTGGCCTGCACAATTAGCACCTTATTATAGGCTGGTCTCTCTTCTAATTGCCACATGTCTCAATTTGAGCACTTTATTTTATTGTCTTGTTCATGCAGTAGTTCAAGGTCCTGGGCTCCCCCACTATAATAAACTCTAAACTATTTTTAGGCAGGTGCTGTGTTTTGAGTTTCTTATCTCTTTATGCCCATAAGAACACTAGGGACTCACAGGCATGCAAACACTGACTGACTGAAGAGTTTCTAGATATCCTGAGTATGGCATACGGTTGGAATCTGGGTCTCCATGCATGCTACTCAACCCTAGTATCAGATCTATCAGACTTCTTTGCCATTGAGGGCTCTCTCCTTAGCTATCTGGAGTTAAACTCTATTCTGCTCATATATAACCTTTTGCCTTGTTTAAAATATTGGGCTGCAACAGACACAGCAAAGTCCCATCAGCACCACATTCCACGTTCCTCTAGAAAAATGATTCAAGAGATATGAGTTTATGCTTGAACAGACTTCTTGCTTTTGGAATTAAGATTAACTATATAGTTCATGGGACAGTTACCAATGCCATAACAAAATTGGGACTTCCTTCACCAAATACACTGGTGAATGTAATAAAACTTGGGGGGAGGTTGTGTAAGGTGATGGTTAGGAGTGTGGGCAGGAGAGCAAGACTGCCTGGTCTCAAGTCCTGGTTCTGCTATTTACCAATGATGTAACCTGTGACCCTGGTTAAGGCATTTAACCTCTCTGTGCCTCATTTCCCAATCTGTAAAATAGGGATAAAAATACTTGCATCATAAGGATGTTGCAAGGACCGAATAATTTTTTTTTTTTTTTGAGACGGGGTTTTGCTCTTGTTGCCCAGGCTGGAGTGCAATGGCGTGATCTCGGCTCACTAAAACCTCTGCCTCCTGCGTTCAGGCGATTCTCCTGCCTCAGGCTCCTGAGTAGCTGGGATTACAGGCATGCACCACCATGCCTGGCTAATTTTGTATTTTTAGTAGAGATAAGGTTTCTCCATGTTGGTCAAGCTGGTCTCAAACTTCCAATCTCAGGTGATCCACCCACCTCGGCCTTCCAAAATGCTGGGATTACAGGTGTGAGCCACCGCACCTAGCCTGGTTAATCTTTATAAAGTGCTTAGAACAATGCTTGGCTTACAATAAGTACTATGTAAATTAGTGTTGAAAATTAGAGTATAAGGTTTTAGAATACACAAACCTACAGAATAGTATGCCCTAATTCATTTATTCATTCAATAAACGAATCTAATAGTGATGGAAAAACAAGATGGTTTAATACTGTGTCATCCTTGACTTCTTGATTTTTTTGGGTTATCATATGTTCTTTGAATTACTTCAATACACTAAAAAATAACTCTGAATTTATGGATTTTAAAGATGTCCAATGCACTGTTACAGCAAAGGTGATAAAAATGTTGTGGCAGCATTTAAGCAGATGATTAGTGAAGATTGTCATTGTTTTAGCAGACAATTTAAAAAGGAACATTCTACTGTTTACATCTCTCTTACCTACTTAGCCTCATATATAAGACATCATTCATAACATTATTTAGCAAATACTGCAGACCCTTGTCCAGTATGGAATTCCTGTCAATTGTGAGGGGAGGGCAGTTCAAATACATGTTCTATATGAAAATCTTTATATAAAGATGACTCCATGGTATCTGAACTCAGGCTTTTCTTCCTGTGTCTTTCTGATCTGTCCATTTGCTGTCACCTCTTAAATCCTTAGTCTCCTCAGATATCCTAGCTTCTAAAATCCCACTTCCAGCGTCTCTCCTTTCTGAGCAATCTCTAGCACATCTAGAAAATGTCATTTATAACATTAGCGATCTCATGTTATCTTATCACACACAGCTCCTCACACAGAACCCAGCTGTCCAACCACACACAAACACACTTATGTGCCACAACAGGTGGGGCACCTGTGCCTTCATTAGGGAGGAAATCCTTCCGGCTTCACCTCTTTCAGTTCCCTGGAAGGCAAAGTCCAATCCTGCAAACTGTCTTCCTTTTAGGTGCTCCTGTAGAGAATTATGTACAGACATACGAAACATCTAATGTCCAGTCTATGAAGAACTGATCATCAATTTTGGAACTCAGCAGTTTAATGTTTAAGAATGTTAGCAAGCACTTCCTCTCTATAACCTTATCAGACGACCTCCCAATCCCACTGTGCTCACTGATGCCACCATCATAGCTCTAATCACCATGATCTGTGGTTATGTTGGCCCCGGAGCCTTCATCTGCCCAGGGAACTTCTCCCGGCATAGTGTGTTTTACTTGTCTTGTGTTCTAGAGGTAGCACAAAGCCTGTCTATAGTAGGCTCCCAATGGTTATCTGAAACTGTATTTGAAGCCATTATCTGATAATACCAACTTTTTTTTTTTTTTTTT